CTCCTGAACTCTCCTCCACGTCATCCCGCTGTAACCGTGCCAGCGCACCCCCACCTCTCGCTGTTGCCATCCCGCCGAAACCCACTTCCCCGCCCCACCTTCCTGCCACCTCTCCCTTCCCGCCACGTCGCTGTCAATGCTATCCTTCGCCACAAACGGCCTCGCTTATATACAAATGTACAGGTTCTGCGCCTTCACTCTCCACTACACCCTCTGTCAGGATTTCTTAGGCATCAACCTCAGAATTCTGACAACTCTACTGGTGCTGCCGACCCGGGCGTTGGAGCTGCTACTGGTGCTGCGGACCCTGGAGTTGGAGCTGCTGCGGGTGCTGTGGACCCGAGTGTTGGAGCTGCTGCTGGTGCTGAGGACCCTGGAGGTGGAGCTGCTGCTGGTGCTGAGGACCCTGGCGGTGGAGCTGCTGCTGGTGCTGCGGACCCTGGTGTTGGCGGTGCTGCTAGTGCTGCTGGAGGTGCTGCTGGTGCTGCTGGAGGTGCTGCTGGTGCTGCGGACCCTGGAGGTGGTGCTGCTGCAGGTGCTGCGGACCCTGGCGCTGGTGTCCCTACTGGTTCTGGGGACGCTGCACGGCCACGGCCGTACTTCGTTCCGCTCCTTCAGCAGGTTCTTGGTCAGCCTCCTCCTCCTTGTCCTCCTCCCTCCTTAGCGTGTCCTCCGTCTGTCCAGTCGCAGTCACAGTTACCGTCTGCCTCCCCTCTCCCTGGTCCTGCTCCTTACACTGGTCCGACTGGAGGTCTTACGGAGTGTCGTGAGCCTGCGTCTCGTCCTGTGTCGCCTGCGTCTCGTCCCGTGCAGCCTGTTCCTACTGCTCGCACTGGTCGTCGAGCCCCGCGTGAGCGTCCTCCGCCTGTCGCTGGCACACACTATATGGCTCTGCGTCCTTCCACTGCTCCACAGCGTGTCCCTCTGCCGTCTCCTCCTGCGTCCTCTCTTCCTACTCTTGCTGACCCGGCGTCTGACTACCTTCGTGCTGCCAGTCCTACTATCACGCATCTACTAGCTACTGTTGTCACTGACCCTTCCTTTGAGTCTGTTGCTGCGTCTGCCTTAGTTGCTGAGCTTGTCGACTTTGCTGCCACGTGTCGTCTAGACTACGCCGCGAGTCTTGTTGCTGAGTCTGAGTCTGTCTGTCCTCCGTCCGTCGGGGGTGAGTGTGCTCTTGGCACGGACGTCCTTGAGGACAGGCAAGAGGAGTTTGAGTGCTTTGCCCCATCTCGTGTCCATGCTTGTTGCCCCTGAGGGAGACCCGGATGCACCAGACATCCCAACCCGACGCTCTTACGCTGAGGCGATGGCAGGTCCCTACTCCTCTCAGTGGCAGACAGCCATGGACGCGGAGATGGCTACCTGGAAGTCCACAGGCACCTACGTCGACGAGGTTCCCCCACCTGGGGTGAACATCGTCAGTGGCATGTGGATCTTCAGGGTGAAGCGGCCGCCGGGTTCTCCGCCTGTCTTTAAGGCGCGTTACTTTGCACGAGGCTTCAGTCAGCGAGAGGGAGTTGACTTCTTCCAGACCTTCTCCCCGACCCCGAAGATGACTACTCTTCGGGTTCTGCTGCACGTCGCCGCTCAGCGTGACTACGAGCTCCACTCTCTTGACTTCAACACTGCTTTCCTACAGGGCCGCCTGCACGAGGAGATCTGGCTGCGCCGCCCTCCTGCCTTCACTGGGTCTTTCCCTCCTGGTACCCAGTGGAGCCTCCGGCGGCCAGTCTACGGTCTCCGCCAGGCGCCACGTGAGTGGCACGACACACTGAGGACTACACTTGCGGCTCTTGGGTTCGCTCAGTCTACAGCTGACCCGTCGCTGTTTCTACGCACCGACACCTCGCTGCCGCCGTTCTACATCCTCGTGTATGTCGACGACTTGGTCTTTGCCACTGCTGACACTGCTGGTCTCGCCCACGTGAAGTCGGAGCTACAGAAGAGACACACGTGCACAGACCTGGGTGAACTAACAAGCTATCTTGGCTTGCGGATCACCCGGGACAGAGCACGGCGCACCATCACCCTGACTCAGTCACACATGGTGCAGCAGGTCCTTCAGCGCTTCCGCTTCACGTACTCCTCGCCTCAGCCCACTCCTCTGCCTACCGGTCACTCGCTCTCAACTCTGCCTTCGGATGAGTCCGTAGAGCCGAGTGGCCCGTATCCAGAGCTTGTGGGTTGCCTCATGTACCTGATGACCTGCACTCGACCTGACCTTGCATACCCTCTTAGCATCCTTGCACGCTATGTCGCTCCCGGCCGTCACCGGAAGGAGCACATGGATGCAGCTAAGAGGGTGTTGCGCTACGTGTGCAGTACGTCAGGCTTGGGGCTAGTGCTTGGAGGGCGAGACCGAGTTGTGCTCTCTGGGCACTCAGACGCTTCTTGGGCAGACGACCAGGCTACTCAGCGGTCGTCTCAGGGTTACACCTTCAGTCTTGGCTCTGGCTCTATTTCTTGGCGTTCTACTCGCTCTTCTTCTGTTCTCAGCTCCAGTTGTGAGGCTGAGATCTACGCCACAGCCATGGCGGCCCAGGAGCTACGCTGGCTCACCTACCTGCTGACCGACCTTGGAGAGCGGCCTTGTTCTCCTCCAGTGCTGTACGTCGACAACAAGGCAGCCATTGCCTTGTGTCAGGAGCACAGACTGGTGCACAGAACGAAGCACATTGCTCTGCACTACTTCCTTGCTCGAGAGCTGCAGCAGCGTGGTCAGCTTTGTCTGCGCTACGTGGCCACTGAGGCCAACACTGCTGATGTGTTCACCAAGGCGCTTCAGCCTTGTGACCATCAGCGCTTTTGCACTCTTCTAGGCCTTGTGCCTACTGGACCTCACTTGCTTACTTCTTGACTCTGTCTGTACTGTGATCTCTAAATATATACCTGCATGTTCACTCTTGATAGGTTGTGATCATTGTACCTCTTGCTCTATTATAAACCTGCATGTGACCTGGTCTTGTGACCACTTGCTTGTGCTCAGAATTTGTGTGGTATCCTTGAGATCCACCCTGAGCTTGTTTTGCCTTGCTTTGCTTTGTCTGGTCTTGTAACCCCTAGTTCTCCCCCACTTTGCCTATGGGGGTGTGTCAAACATTGTATGTTATATCTGTTTAGGCTACAGTGGGTTAGCCTATAGGGGGTACACAATTCTAGGGTTAGGTACTTGTACTCATTTCACTGCTAGTTCATTCCTGTTCTTTCATTTCAACACCAAGGAAATCGTGTGGTGTTTCGGAAATGCATCGACCTAGATTCTAGACAAGACTCTGGAGGAGCCTTTACACCATCGCGTTATGACTTCAGGGTTCTAATGCGCTGGTTGTTTAGCTGCGTAGTATGTGGCATCTGCTTCATCGGCCCTATGGGTACTATTGAGCTAACGCAAGGGGAAAAGCCACAGCAGCCAAGGGCCCCTGGTCAGCCAGCACGCCGGCAACAAATTAGCAGTCATGATGGTCCCTTTTCAAGTATTTATGACGATCTGCTGGAAAATATTCTTCTCCTTGTCGCATCTAAGGGCACCAAGTTCGATACCCACGATTGTCCCAGTAACGAGCGCATTTTGCAAAGAAGGATCGAGAACGCGTTGAACGAGCACTTGCCGAGCACCTGCCGGGTTACCAGGCTCCTGTCGCCACAGCCTCATCGCTCACTGCCTTTCGCCACGCTCTGGTCTGCGAGCGATGCGCGTCGCCAGATCCGTGCATCCCGCCATCGTTGTGCGTCGTAACTGCTTTTTCTCTGCACGAACTCTCTCCTCGCTCCTCGCTTAACCCACCTCGGGATTCCCGAACCTTCGCCACCTGCACCTCGGCGAATTCGCAACGGACGTCGTAGATCGCCACCTCGTGCGATCCATCTGCGACGGATGCTGCTTGTCCCTGACCCATCTCACCATGAATCAGTATGATCGACGGCTGGCGACGCGCGTTCAGGAAGGCAAAAGAAGCAGCGCGGCGCGGGAGTCGCTGTGAGCGTGAGTGGAGGGAGCTGATGGGCATGCCAGGTGAGCTGAAAAGCGGTTGCAGGCAAAGTGAGACTCATCCTCATCCCTCCACCATCTGCCTCCCCTCCCCTCCCAATTCTTGATCCTCTCTTCCCAAGTCAATGCGGCCGCACTGCTCACTCTGGTCGGTCACTCAAAAGTCAATGCGGCCGCACTGCTCACTCTGGTCGGTCACTCAAAAGTCAATGCGGCCGCACTGCTCACCCAGACCCTATCCATTTCTCTCCCCATACCCTCTCCTTCCCCCACAAATTCATGTCGCTTCGGTAGATAGCGGCGCACTGCGCACCCTGGCGACGTCCCTTCCTCTCCCCTTACCATCTCACTTAACCCTTCACTTCTCCTGTCGTACCACCACTTCCGCACCGCACCTGCTTCTCCTGCACCCATGTCTGGCCCTTGAGTTCTGGCACCTCACCTGGAACACGGGCGCACTGTCCAGGGGAAACCTGCGGGCTGCTGAGGCTACACACAGTTTTCATGTCCTAGATTGGCGCCCGCGTTTGCGCCCCGATTGGGGTGACAGGGAACCTGTGTTAGAATATATCTTCTCTTGTAACCTGCATATATGCTATAGGATAGGCTAGAGTTAAGCACCCAAACTTAGTTTGGGTGTATAAGTAGGGGTTACCCAGTTTGTAGGCTGGAAACCCAACCTTGGTCCAATTATTGGACCTCAAAAGGTTGGGTTGAGTAGAATTATTGGTCCCCTCCAATAATGTTGGTCCAACCCAAATTTGGCCAACATTATTGGACCCCACCAATAATCTCCCAACTCAACTTCTTGGTTGGGGTCCAATAATGCTCACCTAGGCTAGTATCCAACCCACTCCCTATGTAAACCCCCATTCTCCTCAATCAATCCATCAACTTCTATTCAAACCATTATTCTCACATGGTATAGAGCTTACAATCCTAGGACCTACTCTCCTAGTCTCTAAGGCCGCCGCAACCCCCAGCCTCTTCTCTATTTTTTTTTTCTCGGCTACCTCGCCGCCCTTCCCCTCTCTTCAAGCGCTCTTTCCCTCGCAGCCCCGCGGCCTCTCAAGCCGCCACGGCCCGCGCCACTCCCTTCCGCGGCCCCGCCGTCGCTTCCGCGCTCGCCTTGCCGCGGTCTCACCAGCCGCCGCTGCCAGCGCCTCTCCCCGGCCTCGACGCCGCCTCCGCGCCAGCCGCCGCGGCCCCGCCAGCCGCCGCCCGCGCCTTCCCTTCCAGCGGCATCGACGCCGCCTCTGCGCCAGCGCCGCCGCGGCCTCGCCAGCCGCCGCCGCCAGCGCCTCTCCGCGGCCTCGACGCCGCCTCCGCGCTCGCCCTCGCCGCGGCCTCGCCAGACGCCGCTGCTTGCGCCACTCCCCTCCGCGGCCCCGACACCGCTTCCGCGCCAGCGCCGCGGCCCCGCCAGCCGCCGCCCGCGCCTCTCCGCGGCCTCGACGCCGCCTCCGCGCCAGCGCCGCCGCAGCCTGGCCAGCCGCCGCCGCCCGCGCCCTTCCCTTCCGCGGCCCCGACGCCGCCTCCGCGCCTCGCCGCGGCCTCGCCAGCCGCCGCCCGCGCTTCTCCGCGGCCTCGACGCCGCCTCCGCGCTCGCCCTCGCCGCGGCCTCGCCAGCCGCCGCTGCTTGCGCCACTCCCCTCCGCGGCCCCGACGCCGCTTCCGCGCCAGCGCCGCGGCCCCGCCAGCCGCCGCCCGCGCCTCTCCGCGGCCTCGACGCCGCCTCCGCACCAGCGCCGCCGCGGCCTCGCCAGCCGCCGCCGCCCGCGCCCTTCCCTTCCGCGGCCCCGACGCCGCCTCCGCGCCTCGCCGTGGCCTCGCCAGCCGCCGCCCGCGCTACTCTGCGGCCTCGACGCCGCCTCCGCGCCAACGCCGCCGCGGCCTCACCAGCCGCCGCCGCCCGCACCCTCCCCTCCGCGGCCTCGACGCCGCCTCTATGTGACCACTGCGGGTCCACCCGCGGCCGTCCATCATGGCTCACGCCACACCCTCCCCCTCCCCCCCCTCCCTCCTCCTATTGATACCTCCTCTATCGATAAACTGCAGCTCGCCGCGGACAAATCCGCCGTCAACTGGCACTCCTTCATTGGCAGCATCCGTCGAGTTCTCTCCGATGCATGGGTTCCCCCCTACCGCGTCCTTGACATCATCCTCCGCCGTCCCCATGCTCTACCCCCCACCGCTCCTGACCACCCCGACGAGACCCCTCCTCTCCCTCCCTCTCCTGGCGATCCTCCTCGTGAACCCGACCTCCAACTCACCGCCGACCAAGCCACCGCTGATGCAGACTTCATCCTACGCCGCCGTGAATACCTTATACGCAAAGCCGAGTACGATGCAGCAGTTGACGCCTACGACTAGGCAGTTGCTGGCCGCAATGCTCATCTTGCCGTCGTCGCCAAATACAACGACGACTTGGCTACCTTCACCCCAAACCTCATTGCTTGGACAGCTGCTGACAACCGCGCCTGCACCGTTCTTCTCGGTGCTCTCCCTGACTCCCTTATGCGCCGCTTCCAGGCTCGGGAACTCCGTGCCTCGGTCATTTGGGCGGAACTCCATGCCATGTTTGAGCGCCGCAACATCAGCTCGGTTGGCATCCTCTTTCAAGAATACTTTTCAATCATCCTCGCTACATGTGATGGAGCGGTCGACTACGTCGGACGTATGAGAGAAGTAGCTGACCGCCTCGAAGCCCGCCAGGCTGGCCTCTCCGAACCCCTCCAAATCCATCGCCTCCTGTTTAACCTCACCCCAGACTATGAATCCCGCCTTCATGCCTTTACTAAAGCCAATCCCATGGCCGATCTCGCCTCCGTTGAGCAGTGGATCATAGACACCGAAGTCAAACTACACACCCCCATTGTCAACCTCACCTCCTCCCAACCCTCCTCCTCCTCCCTCAATGCTACCCAGCCCCGCAAGCAGGCTAAGAACAACGGCAAAGGGGGAGGTGGGGGCAGGGGAGGTGGCGGCCAGGGCAACAGCAGCGCAACCAGTCGTGGCGGCACCACTGGGGATGAGCATGGCACCACCAATTCAGGCGGAACCTCTGCAGGCCGCGGAACCCGTCCTGGCACCCTTCCGCCCTGCACCTATGTCCGTCGCTATGGTCCCCGGGCTGGAACACCCTGCGGACAGACCAACCATCCCCCTAGCACTTGCTTCAAGGCTCTCGATGATGCCTGGTACGTGAGGGGCAATGTTGGCAATCCTCCCTAGTGGGGAACGATCTCCCCACGTCCCTCCCTTGCCGACATCCAAACCAACCCCGCTTACCTCCCTGCCCACCTCCGCCTCCTTGCTCCCCCCACACCGTTCCTTAATCTCCAGCAGCAGCACCTCCTGCAGCAGCAGCAGCAGCAGCAGCAGCAGCAGCAGCAGCAGCAGCAGCTGTTTCATCAGCAGCCACAGCAGCAGCAGCAGCCGCAGCCACAGCCACACCCATGGGGAACTGGACTCTTACCCCAGTGGGGACCCAGCCCTCCTCCTTGGCAGCAGCAACAGCTGAATTTTGGCACAGCTGCCATAGCCGCTCAAGCCTCACCGGCCCCCCTTTGGGGTGCTCCACCCCCTAGTAGCACTGCCCCTCCTCTTACCCAAGAGAGCTTTCTTGGCAACATTGCTATCTCACCCTCTCTTCCTTCCATGTACCCATCCACCATTAATGAAACTGCTTTCCAGTACTTCGCCTCTTCCTCCTCCTCATCCACTCTGGACTTTGTCCTCGATAGTGGGGCCACTGAGACCGCTCTCAAGGATGCTGGTACACTCACACCCCTCTCTCCTCCCACCCAAGTTCACAGCGCTGACAGCAGCTTTACCATCCCATGCACACACCTCTCCACTCTCCCCTGCACACTCTTCCCCTCTGGTAAGGTAACTGGTCTCCACATCCCCACCCTCCGAAACAACCTCCTCTCCCACCGTGAAATCCAAAATGCAAGTATCACTGCTGTCTATCCAGGTAATGCCACCTACTGTGATCTCTACCACACCGCCACTGGTCGCTTCCTTCTACGCATTCCCCTCTGCCCCCGCACTCGCCTCTACACTCTTCGCACCCCTTGGCCATCCTTCTGCCATGTCACCACTCGTGCTGGCACTTCTACTAACCCTCCCCATCCCCCTACCTCACCTCCACACCAGCAGCCGCAGCAGCAGCAGCAGCAGCATCAGCAGCAGCTGCAGACACCTCCCCCTCTCTCGCTCACTCCATCCCCCTCCACCTCCGATCATCTCTCCCACCCCGCTGTACTGCTCCACCACCGACTCGGCCACCCCAATTTCGCCGCTCTCCGCACTGCCATCACCTCTTGCCTCCTTCACAGCATCCCTCCCACTCTCCCTCCCCTCCCTTTTTCTCCAGCCCCTCCATGCCCCTCCTGCATCCACGGCAAACTCAAACAGTCCCCCCACCACAGCCACCCCTCCTTTGCTCCCACTCCAATAGACCTCGTCCATATGGACCTCTGGGGACCCTCCCCCACTTGTTCCCGTCAGGGCCATCGCTACATGCTGGTCCTCGTCGACGACCACAGCCGCTACTCTTCCATTTTCCTCCTCCACACTAAAGACCAGGCGCCGACCATGATCATCAACTGGGCAGAGCAATGCCGCGCCCACTTCAAGCGTCCCATCGGCCGCCTACACTCTGATGGAGGAGGCGAATTCCTCAATCGCACTCTCTCCCATTACTGCACCACCCATGGCATCCAACAGACTCACACCCTCTTCCACTCCCCGCAGCAGAATGGTGTTGTAGAAAGTTGGATTCGCGAAATCACCAAGATCGCCCGTTGTCTCCTCGCTCACGCCTCAACCCCCCCTTCCCTCTGGGGCTACGCTCTGCTCCATGCTGCCCTCCTCCTCAACCTTCACTCCCATCCTCAACATACCACGACCACCCCCACGGAGCTTTGGTCAGGCACCAAACCTGACGCTGCTGGTCTTCGTGTTTGGGGTTGCAAGGCCTATGTCCTTATCCCTCCACCCGATCGCACCCACGGCAAGCTCGCTTCTCGCGCCCTCGAGTGTGTCTACCTCGGGCACAACCGCGACTCGCCTGGCTACCTCTTCCTTCACCCTCCCTCTGGACGCCTTATCCGCAGCATTGATGTCGTCTTTGACGAAACCACCCCCTATTACTCCGCTTCACCACCAGACCCCCTCCCTCCTCCTTCACGTCCTCTCACCTGGACCGACACTGTGCTCCCTCCCCTCCTCCCTCCTGGACCCCTTCTCCCACCTCTCCCTACTCCGCTTCCGCCACCCTCATCCGCCGACATCTACGATCCCACTGCTCCTGCATCCCCTGCACACTCCGCAGCCCCCCCTCCCTCCTCTCCTCCCCCCTCTCCTTCTCCTCCGTCCCAGCAGCAGCAGCAGCAGCAGCAGGGACAGCAACCGCCGCAGCAGCAGCAACGGCAGCAGCAGTCACAAGGACAGCAGCAGGGGCAGCAGCATCGGCAAGAGCAGCAGCCGCTTCAGCAGCAGGGGTTCCAGCAGCAGCCGCAGCAGCAGCAGGGGCTACAGCAGCACCAGCAGCAGCAGCAGCGGCATAGGGCATCTGCTCGCTCCTCACCCTTCCTCCTTCCTCGCATGCACACCCGCTCCCTCGACCCCATCCTTGGCGTACCCTCTCCTCCCTCCCTCAACCAATTGGAAGACTCCCATGAGGAGCTCACCATGGTTCGGCGACACACTCCCTCTCTCACCGTGCTTTCCCCTGACCTCCTCGCCGCTCTACTCCTTAGCGCGATCTCCGCTCCCACCATCTTTGTCCCCTCCACCTTCCAGGAGGCTATCACCTGCCCTGACGCTGACAAGTGGATAGCTGCCATCTTCCTGGAATGTGAGGCATTCATCCGCAACGACTCCTTCATCGACGTTCCCCTCCCCCCTGACGCCAACCTTGTCGAGGGCAAGTGGATCTTTCGAGTTAAGCAGCTGCCGGGAGAAGAACCAGTCTACAAAGCCCGCTACGTGGCCAAGGGGTTCACCCAGACCTGGGCTGAAGACTACTGGTTCACGTTTGCCCCCACTGTCAAGCAGGCCACCCTACGTACCCTCATGGATATTGGTGCGCGTGACGACATGGAGATTGACTCCATGGACGTCTCCAACGCGTTCCTGCAAGGCGAGCTGCACGAGCGTATCTTCCTCCGCCGGCCCCCCGGATTTCATGCTGCCTTCCCCGACAACACTGTGTGGCAACTTCGGCGACCGGTTTACGGTTTGAAACAGGCACCACGAGAATGGCATGCGAAGCTGTCTGCCACTCTCCAGTCCCTTGGCTTCTCTGCCTCCCACTCCGATGCCAGCCTCTTCATCCGCTCTTCCCCCAGTCGCTTTTTCATCTCGGTCTACGTTGACGACATGATCCTGCTTGCGGATTCTAGGGCCGACATGGACCAGATGAAGCGGTCACTCGAGGAACGTCTCAAGTGCAAGGACCTTGGCCCACTGCAGAACTACCTCGGCATGGCCACCACCCGTGATCGATCCGCCCGCACCATCACTCTCTCCCAGTCCCACTACATCGGCCAGGTCCTGGAGAAGTTCGAGATGGCGCAGGCCAAACCAGTCTCCACTCCCCTCCCCTTCGGTCACCAACTTGCGCCACCCACCTCCCCCTCCACCTCCTCCCGGCCCTATGACGAGCTCGTTGGGTCGCTGATGTACGCAATGATGTGTACTCGCCCCGACCTCGCCTACCCCGTCAGCGTCCTTGCTCGGTTCGTCGGCTCCGGCCGTCACACTGAAGAACACTGGGCTGCTGCCAAGTGTCAGTAGATCTGCATTGTGGATGCCCGATTGATCCTGGAGAGGGTTACAGGCGCGTTCGCCTGGGGGGTTATGGGCGCACTGACCCGCTACTGAAACAAGCCCTTTTATCCCAATGGTCTAGTGGTTGGGATTCTGACATGGTATCAGAGCGGTCTCGGGTTCGATTCCCGGTGTATGCACATGTAGGCCGTTGCTGCTGTGCTTAGTCCTGGGCCTCCCAGTGTGGGGGGGTGTCAGTAGATCTGCACTGTGGATGCCCGATTGATCCTGGAGAGGGTTACAGGCGCGTTCGCCTGGGGGGTTATGGGCGCACTGACCCGCTACTGAAACAAGCCCTTTTATCCCAATGGTCTAGTGGTTGGGATTCTGACACCAAGCGCGTCCTCCGCTATCTCTGCGGCACCAAGGACCACGCTCTCACACTGGGTGGGTCCTCCCCTCCCCTTCTCTCGGGCTTCAGCGACTCCTCCTGGGCAGACACTCAGCCAGACCGCCGCTCCTCCCAAGGCTATGGCTTCACCCTCGGCAGCGGACTCATCAGCTGGCGTTCCACCCGCTCCTCGGCCATCGCTCTCTCTTCCTGCGAAGCTGAGCTCTATGCGGGCACCATGGCCGCTCAAGAGTCCCGCTGGCTCTGCTTCCTACTGGCAGAGCTTGGTGCCCCCCAGCGCTGTCCCACGCTCTGGTGTGACAACGCTAGCACCATCCACCTCACCCAGGACCCAGTCTTTCATGGTCGCTCCAAGCACATCGAACTCCGCTATTTCTTCATCCGCGACCTCGTCCAGCAGAATCTTATTGCCGTTCGCAAGATCGCTACTGAAGCCAACTTGGCCGATATCTTCACCAAGGCCCTTCTTCGCCCTGCGCACTCTGCTCTCCTTCGCCTCATCGGCCTCGCTCCCCCAGGCGCGCCTTGATTCAGGGGTTGCTTCTCTCCAGCCTTTCCGCATCTCTGCAGGTTAAGGGGTTGTGTTAGAATATATCTTCTCTTTTAACCTGCATATATGCTATAGGATAGGCTAGAGTTAAGCACCCAAACTTAGTTTGGGTGTATAAGTAGGGGTTACCCAGTTTGTAGGTTGGAAACCCAACCTTGGTCCAATTATTGGACCCCAAAAGGTTGGGTTGGGTAGAATTATTGGTCCCCTCCAATAATGTTGGTCCAACCCAAATTTGGCCAACATTATTGGACCCCACCAATAATCTCCCAACTCAACTTCTTGGTTGGGGTCCAATAATGCTCACCTAGGCTAGTATCCAACCCACTCCCTATGTAAACCCCCATTCTCCTCAATCAATCCATCAACTTCTATTCAAACCATTATTCTCACAACCTGCGCATTGTTCAACCTGCGGCCTGCTCAGTGCACTCCTTGCCAAGGCTGCCACGCACCTAATCTTCACCTTTCCTGCTCGTCCCTTCCCCCTCCACCCCTCCCTCCACCAGCTCCGCTCGGCACCTGCTTCTCCCACACCGAATTTTGCCCCTACGACACCGTCTCCCACATCCCTCTCATAAAGAACTGTGCTGTTTACCCTTTCTCCCCTCTCCCGTTGCCCCCCCCCCCCCCCCCCCCCCCCCCCCGGCCTCTTTTTCCGCTCCCCCTTTCAGCTTGGCACCTGCTTCTCCCACACCGACTTGTGCTTCCACCGACTCCCACCCGTATGGCGCGGGTGTACTTTCTCAAACCTCCACAGCAGCACGGTAGAATATGCTGGCGTGGAGGTGCGCGAGAGGCTGCAGGCGAAGCGGGGCGAGGCAGGGCTGCTGGGCGCCCCGTGGCGGCTTTTGAGGGCGGACGAGCAACGGGAGAAGGAGGTGCGTGGTGCGATGCCTTTTAGGTGATTGTTGTGGTGCCGGTCGAGGCTGGGCGGGGCTGTGCGGGGCTGGGTGGGGCTGGGTGGGGCTGTGCGGGGCTGGGTGGGGCTGGGTGGGGCTGGGCGGGGCTGGGTGGGGCTGGGCGGGGCTGGGTGGGGCTGGGCGGTGGCAGGGCTGGGTGGGGCTGGGTGGGTGGACGAGGCTGGTTGGGGACTGGAGGGGCCTGGGCGGGTGCAGGGCTGGGTGGGGCTGGGTGGGGTGGACGAGGCTGGTTGCTGGCTGGGGGGGGCCTGGGCAAGGCTGGATCGCTGTGGCCGTCTCTGTGGGCGGACGAGCAGCGGGAGAAGGAGGTGCGTTTCGAGTGAGTGACGGATAGTGGTGTGCTTGATTCTCATTCCCCGGCCAACCCCACCAGCTCCGCAGCACCTGCTTCTCCTCAACAACGCCTGCCCCACCCCACGAATTCCTGCCACTACATCGTTTAGTCACTGGCGGCGCACTGCGCACCACCTTACTCTCCCCGTATCATCTTTTCCAACCCACGTGCGCTCCAAGTCTTACAACTAGTTGTGCTCCGCACCTGCTACTCCCACGCCAGTGTCTGCCCCACCAGCGGACTCTTTGCCCCCACGGTGGCGCTGCACTGCTCTCACCCACGCCCCGTCCTTTCCTCTCCCTTTCCCACCTCCTTCAACCCTTTCCATCCCGTACTACCAGATCTGCACCGCACCTGCTTCTCGTGCACCGGTGTCTAGCCAATTGGTTCCCGACCCTGCAACATGCGCGCACTGTTCACGGGGAACCTGCAAGCTGCTGAGGCTGCGCACTCTTCCCGAGTTTTAGATTGGTGCCTAGATTGGCGTCACGAGGAGCCTGTGCACTGTCCAACCTGCGGGCTGCTGATTGCTTTCCTTGCCAAGGCTGCAGCACGGCGCCTTCTCTTCAATGTAACACCCATTGCCCCTGTTCCTTCCCCCTCTACTCCCCTCATACCCCAGCTTTGCACCAACGTGCGCTGAGGTGCGCTCTTCCACTCCACGTGTGTATCCTACACCGACTTGCGACCCCCTGACATCTGCCCTTACTGCATTACTCGCAAAGGCACTACCCCTACCTGCCCCTTTTCCCCTTCCTCTTAACCTCTTTCCCCTGTCTCCCCCTTTCTCCGCCAGCTCCCCCCACGTGTTTCTCTTACACAAACTCACGTCCCAACAGCACTATCTCCCACATCCCTCTTCCTGCATCCGTCTCACAAACGCAATAGTTCCCCCCTTCTCCACCCCTTCCCCCTTTGTCCCCCTGTAGCTCCGCAACTGGTTCTCTCACACAGATTTCTGGCCCACAAATCTGTGTCCCTACAGAACTGTCTCCCACATTTCCCCTTATGAGCCACTCCTGTTTTACCTCTTTTCCCTCCCACCTCCTCCCCTCCAGCTCGGCTCCTGCTTTCCCTACTCCAGATTCTGACCCACGGGCTCGACTCGGCTCCGACACCATGGCTGCAATGCTCATCCAGGCATATCGCTCCCCTCGCCATACCCTCTACCTTTCATCCCCCACTCCCCAGCTCCACGTTTGCTTCGCCTACACCAACGTCTGCCCCACTGATTGCTGCCCATTCAGTGGCGGCGCACTGCTGCAGCAGGTGCGGTGCTGCTGCGCTCTCGCTTCCTCTCCTCTTCCCACCTCCTCCAACCCACCAGCACCGCACCTGTTTCTCCTGCACTGGTTCCTGGCCCATTGGTTCCTGCAACAAGAGCGCACTGTTCACAGGGAACCTGCGGGCTGCTGAGGCTGCTGAGGCTGATTTCAAGTCCTAGATTGGTGTCACAGGGATTCTGCGCATTGTGCACTCCTTGCCTGTGCGCCTCTGCAACAAGAGCGCACTGTTCACGGGCAACCCGTGGGCTGCTGAGGCGGTTCATAAGTCCTAGATTGGTGTCACAGGGATTCTGCACATTGTGTAATTGAGAGCTCCTGGTCTCCCCCTTGCTTTCCCATGTGCTTTCCTTCTCCCTCCCTTCTCCCCTAGCGCACCACACCCCACCCACTCCCTGAACTGAAACCCACACCTTTCCAGCTCTTCCAGTGCATCGTGGCAGGGCGCTGTAGCATCATTCCCACAAAACCCATACTCCGCCACCCTACCCCATACCTTTCCACCTCTTTCAGAGAATCATGGCCGGTAGTGCTATCCCCGTCCAACCTCCTCCCTGGCCTTCGAAGCTGCTATGGTGAGTAAAGGGATGCAGGCTTCTGGCCGGTGGATGGTGCATGGTGGGTGGTGCATGGTGGGTGGTGCATGGTGGGTGGTGCATGGTGGGTGGTGCATGGTGCATGGTGGATGGTGGGTGGTGCATGGTGGGTGGTGCATGGTGGGTGGTGCATGGTGGGTGGTGCATGGTGGGTGGTGCATGGTGGGTGGTGCATGGTGCATGGTGGATGGTGGGTGGTGCATGGTGGGTGGTGCATGGTGGGTGGTGCATGGTGGGTGGTGCATGGTGGGTGGTGCATGGTGGGTGGTGCATGGTGGGTGGTGCATGGTGGGTGGTGCATGGTGCATGGTGCATGGTGGGTGGTGCATGGTGGGTGGTGCATGGTGGGTGGTGCATGGTGGATGGTGGGTGGTGCATGGTGGGTGGTGCATGGTGGGTGGTGCATGGTGGATGGTGGGTGGTGCATGGTGGGTGGTGCATGGTGGGTGGTGCATGGTGGGTGGTGCATGGTGGGTGGTGCATGGTGGGTGGTGCATGGTGGATGGTGCATGGTGGGTGGTGCATGGTGGGTGGTGCATGGTGGGTGGTGCATGGTGCATGGTGGGTGGTGCATGGTGGATGGTGCATGGTGCATGGTGCATGGTGGGTGGTGCATGGTGGGTGGTGCATGGTGGATGGTGCATGGTGCATGGTGCATGGTGCATGGTGGGTGGTGCATGGTGGGTGGTGCATGGTGGATGGTGCATGGTGGATGGTGGATGGTGGATGGTGGATGGTGGATGGTGGATGGTGGATGGTGGATGGTGGATGGTGGCTGGAGGATGGTAGCTGGTGGGTAATGGATGTTGGATGGTCTGTGGTGGTTGGGTGGTGGGAGGTGGGTCGGTGGTTTTTCAAAAAACACTGCTACCGTATTCTCCCGGATAAAACACCCCCCCGTAATTGTACACCCCCGGGTAGCTAAAACGGGGTGGGTGTTATATCCGACCCCGTTAGTACTATACCCCCCTTTTGGGGTGATTCTCTATAAGACCCGGGGGGTGGGTGTTATGTGCGGCAAAAAGTGCAAATTCAGTGTTTATGTCATAGTTAGGGGTACAATCTATGGTTGAAGCATGGCACACAGCACCTAGACCCTACCTTTTGATAGAAACAGCACTACCATCACCTCCTACCGTACTTCTGTCTTTGCTCTACGGTGTTTTTCCTTATGCTGCCTACTCCTCCTCCTCATCGTCCCCTGCGTGCCACTCGTCACACTCTTCTCCGTCATAGCGGCCAGGGCGCCACCAATCATCATCCACCTCATTGCACTCTCCCGCCTCATCGTCTTCTACAGGCGCGTTCCAATCCTCCTCTTCTGCTGCCGCCGCTGCCTCCTCCGCCTCCTCAGCGGCGTCATCCTCTGCCGGCACGGGGGCCTCGGCGTAGAACGGGTTGACGACGAGCTCGTCGTCAACGAGGTCGTTGACGTCGTCAACGACCTCGACCTCACCCTTGTCCCGCATGTGGGCAAGGATGAGGTGGTCTTCAGTGCCATCGATCTTGGTGGAGATCCCACAGGTGACGAATGATTTCTTCACAAGCTCCTCTGGGACAGCTTCCCATGACTCGTCGATCCAGCGGAGAACCAAGTCCGCAGGCGGCTTCTTCAGGTTACCTGTGGGAAGGGAAGAGGTGTAGCATAGGGAGTGAGAACGGTAGCTGCAAAGCATTCGCTATCACTCAAATGAAAGTTGCACAAACGGTAGGGGCCATGGCTTCAACTCACCTGCGCGAGTGGTTTGGTTGATGCCGTCTTCCTCGAACCATCCGCTGTAGCGGGAACGCACCCCGCACTTGAACGGGCAGGTTTACTGACACATCCAGAGGCTGCACAAGCGGAGTGCAGCCCCCTGGGATGACCGCCCTTGACAACCTGAACATCCGCATCGTCTGACCGACGGCCTCCGTCAAGTGGCCGCGGTAGGAGTCGAGCACCACCAACGCCTCCCTGCGGCGTCCGGTGGTTTCCCGCAGAGGCTTCAGAAAAGGCACAAGCACCTGGGTGATCCAGTCCTGCACCAGGGATTCGTCCATCCACCCCTTCGCTTGTGCACGGACCACCACACCTGCCAATCACAACGCGAGAGTGTCGTGGGGTCAGAGCGCGTGGCAAGGAAGAGCACGGGTCAAACGGGAAGAGCATCCGTGGTTCACTTACCGGCAGGTATGGGCACCTTCGGGACAGTTTTTCGTTTGAACACGACGTAGGGAGGAAGCTTGAGGCCACCCGCAGTTACTGCCAGCATGACAGTAACCCGTTCCTTCTCATATCCCGCACTGCGTACGTGAACCGTACGCGCTCCCTCCATCTCGATCGTGCGCTCCGCCGGCATCTCCAAGAATAGCGGAGTCTGGTCCGCGTTCACTATGAGGTCGAGTGGGTAGTCGTTGACAGTGTGCATCTGGCGCACAAACTCCCAAAACGATTCCACCTTCTCCTTGCAATCTGAAAAGAGTGCCACGGCAAGCATTAGATCAACGTCACGATAGAAAACACGATTGGAAGCAAGAAGAACTTACCGGCGGCCAACCTCTGCCCCATCTTAGTCTTCACCCGCCTCGCCAAGTGCCAGCGCGAGCGGAAACGCGTCGCCCAGCGGAACGATGCGCGCCAATTGACCGACGGCATCCGGTGCTTCATGTACTTGGAGCTCCACTGCTGGAGCATGCGGACTGAGACGGCGAGGCCCTTCGCCCGGTGGTTAAGAAAGTGGCGGTAGACCGCCCGTTCCATGAATGGGTATTTCGCTTTGCGGCCGGAACCCACGAGGCGACGCCGGCAGCTAGATGCGACCTCCAGCCGCTCCCTCAGCTTCTTCCACTCGCGGATCTAGCAGGGCTGCACCTTCGCGAGCTTAGCCAAGGCGCGATTCTCAAGATCGGGCTGAGAATCTTGCATCTTCAGCCAGTGTAGCTTCTCCTTCACAGTGATCGCGTGACGCACCTTCTTCGTCATGCGATGGCGAGGGGATGGTGTCTCACCATCCGCGACGCGCTTCTTTTGTCCCTGCGGGCGCCTACTCTCCGGGAAGGTGGGAACAGCCACGCGTGGCAGGGGAGGGCGAGGAGACTCGGAGCTACTGCTCGGTTCATCCCTGGTAGAAGCACTACCAGGAGGAGACGGCTGGGGCAAGACAGGGCGAGGTGACGTCCTTGCGCGTGCAGCAGCGGCAGACCGAGAGTTCGTAGGCTGCTGCCGCCTAACTACCGTACTGCTAGAATCGGGTGAGGAAGCCATTTTGTCTACTGCAGATTCGTGTCACTCGCCATAGCGGAAGAGGCGGCTATAAACAAAGAAAGTAGAGTGTAGGACGGAGGCGCGCTCACAGCCTGCCGAGCACTCTTCAGTATCGTGCTATGGAACCGCTGCACAAAGTGAAGGTGAGAGGCACATTTGAGGCATAGGGACGTGACAGAACCAGTCAAGACGTGACTGGTACAGTGACCACGCAGCACTGTGCGCGATTCCGGCCTCGGCGGTTGCATGAACTCTCGCTACGCAAGGCTGGCTTTGTTTTCAGCCTATCAGGTGCCAGAGTTGCCCACTGGAACTTGCCATGTGGCGTATTCCAGTGGGCAACCACGTTATCCTCGTAGTATACTCGGTTTTGCGACACTGATCAACATTCTTGAAGTGAAGTCACACCCCAGATTTTGTTTCAGTCCTTTTTTGCTTGTTAAAAAATATACCATATAATAAGACCCGGGTATTATGTAGGATTTTCCTTTGAGGAGACCCCCCCCATTTTTTTCCAGTGGTTATCATAATACCCTAGGGTGTTTTATCCGGGAGAATACGGTATGCTTGAGGGTCCTCCGAGCAAGGACCATTCAAAGCTCTCACCCTCACTTCCCCCTCCTCCCTCCCCCCCCCGCCACCAGGACCTGTGTGGTTTGGGCGCATGGTGCAAAGAGGAGCTGCTTACATGCGCCACTCTCTGTCCTCACCCACGCTTTGACCGCAAAGCCAAGAACATGGCTGCCCTCTTATCTCCCACGCATCCCTGACCTGCTCGACACTCACCACCTCCTTGTAACCCCACCCAACAGGACCAAAATCGGTAGCCACAAGGCAAAGGCAGGTGGGCATTTTAGCAGGCCCGAATAAGCAGTGGCTTTCCCAAGCCAGGCGTCTCTCTAGGCAGTGTGCTCTGCCGCGTCTGGCTCTTTTTCGTTCTCTCCTTCTCTGCCCTTCCCTGCACTGTCTGCCTGCCCTGTCTGCCCTGCCCTTGCCCACCCTTGCCTGCTGTCAACCCTCCTTCCCTCTTTGCAGGCCCTATCCAGCAGGCGCACCGCCCTTTTCACCGGCCTTATATTGGTGTTATCACCACCCTTATCACGGACTTCCTCGGGCCCCTGGGAAGTGTGCTGTCCCTCTTGTCAGCCTTCATCATCCTCGGCTTCATCATCTGTCGACGATGTCTTGCTTCTTGGCTTAGCGCAATATGTGCTGCTGAATGGCATACTGCCAATTGGTACCAAATGCAGTGCACAGTGCCAATAGCAGAGGCATTTCCCTCTACAGAACCGGACATCACCATCCATTGTGCAGAGTAGTTCAACATGAATACGTATGAGTCTACTAAAAGATCACCTTGCTGCTCACCCGATATGGTTTGCTGTAGGAATTTCATTTGCTACACCTTGTTCTGACATGGTCCTCCCGTCTCTCTGGAATAGCACACCACCATCATTTGCAGTGAGTATAGAACTGCATGCACATGTTGGTACGAAGAGTACATGAGACCGTTATCGTATGATAATACCATACTCTGCGTACAGTCAGGGACCACTTCCTAGCCCGCTGCCCCACTGAGCTCACCATAGACCTCCTCGAGAAGGAACTGCTTGCAGCTGAGAAGAGTATTGTAGCTGTAGGTGCCTCTCGTGGCGACCCCCGCACCCCTTTCTTCGAGGGGTGTTCCCCCTCCCCCCTGCTCCCCTCTGTCGCCTCTGCTGCTGCTGTCGACCTCCTTGGTGCTGAGCAGGTCGGGTCTGCGTCCGCTCCCAGCGGGCGCCGCAGCGGCAGGGGCAGGGGAGGCAAGGGCGGTGGGGGTGACGGTGGGGGAGGCGGTGGTGGGGGTGGTGGCGGCGGTGGGGGCGGTGGCGGGGCTGGAGGGGCTAGTGGCAGCGGTGGGGGTGGTGGAGGCAGCGGCGGCGGCGGTGGCCGGGGTGGGGGCGGTGGTGGTGACGGCGGTGGACGTGGCGGCGGCAGGGGCGGTGGTGGTCGTGGTGGCGGCGGCGGTGGTGGTCGTGGAGGCTCTAGCACTGGCCAGGGCACGCAGCACCCTCAGTCCTCCCAGGAGCTTCGTGAGTGGTACTCACAGCACGGGGGGGGGGGGGGGGTAGCCTTAGCTGCACGTACGTCATCCGCACTGGTCGCCGCAAGGGACAGACGTGCGGGAGGGCGCACACCGCGCAGCGCTGTTTCTCTCGCCTAGATGACGCTTGGCGTGCTCAGTTTCCTGACGCTCCTGAGACCCCCCAGTGGGCTGATCTCCTCAAGAAGGATATTGATATCTATGCTCTTGACTTTGATGTTATTCTCAAAGCTATGTATGCATTGACTATTAGTGGAGAGGAGGATCAGTACCTGTGTGTTCCGCCTGACCCAGGCATCCGCACGAGTGAGGCTACCGCCCTAGGTGCTTGCGTGTCTGCTGCTCCAGGTGCTGGTGAGGCTGCTGCTCTAGGTGCTTCTGTGTCCGCCACCCCAGGTACTACTGAGTCCACTGAGGCACTGCACACCTTCACTCTAGACTCAAGCGCTTCGCGCTGTTTCTTTCATGACCGC